TCAAAATAAAAACTAAGGTGTCTGCTTTAGACCACACGATAGAAATAAATAATCAAGAAGGCGAGATTAACAATATTAAATATAAATTATAAATAATAGCTCATTACAAAGAGGATGAAATGCTGAATATTTCTCTCGTTTTCATTATGCAGATCCGATTTTTAGTTTCTGAGATATTTTAATCTATATCTTCCATAAAACTCGTTATCATTTGGTTTTCTGCACTATTTTTTCCATATTCGCCTCTGCAACACACGTCGCGTTAAAATACAATTTTTAATAATAGCTCATTACAAAGATGAAATGGTGGGCATTTCCCTCGCTAACAATATGCATGTCAAAATATTTTAATCCATAAGCAAAAACACTTCAATTAGTCGACTCCAGCCGACTTTATCCGAACGTTACACATCGGAGATCTGACGGCTCAATCAAATTCACTATCCACAAACAAAGTGTGAAACATGCCTAAAGAAGGTTTCATTTAAAAAAATAAAATAAAACACCTCTTCCCCCCCTCTCACAACCATAATGGAAAGTCTACACTTTTGAAACTAGTTATATCGATGTAAAATTAAATTGTTTTTAATATAACGTAGGTCTTATCCTCTTTGAAATAGTATAATTACCGAATTTCTTCCACTAAAATACCTTAAAAGTACATCTGGATCTGATGATACATACAGTATCTATGGTTGCCAAGTATATCGAAACGTTGAAATTTCGGGACTCGATATTTATGATCTTTGAAAGAATAGCATAATTAACATGGAATTATAATATCAAATTCTATCAATTTATTAACATAAATTAATTAATATTTTTTAAATTAATTTTTAAAAAAATCATGATAAAGAAACTAGAAAAAAAAATCAACTGAATTGCTTAATTCACTTTTAAACAACTGTTTAATTAGAGTGCTACCACTGGGTAGTTTCTCAACAAGCGTGTTTCATGTAATAATATTTCTCTGTACAAATTTACTTGATGTATTCATATTAATACAGTTGTAAATATCATAATAAAAGTTTAAAGTTTTAAACGACTGTTTAAACATTCTTTAAACATAATGGAAGATTCTAAGCTCATCGTTGAGCTTATGTATGAGATCCAGCGCGTCACTTTATTCATCGATTGAATCATCGGTTCCATCCGTTATAGGGATCGAAGTATTTGCTAGATTTCAATAGAACCTCTGTTATGTTAATTCTTAATTTACTTTACATATTTATATACCGTTTTGATATGTAACAATTATTTTCATATGTTTTTTTACCTACCAGGTATGTCAACCTAGATCAATTCTAAATCAAGCATTAATCGCTGTGCATCGGTACTGAATTCAATCTATTGATAGATTCCATCGATATAATTAGTTCTGTTATAACTGTTAAATAATGACTGTTGATAAAAAACAAAATTATGTACAATTCTTCTCTAATTGTTTATAAAATATCTGTAAGTTTATCATACATATAAAATAGACTTATTATAAATTCATATCTGCTTTAACATCATAATGCTTTGCGTTCTTTGAGTCCTTTGAGTCATAATTCTATATAATATACAAAAACACGCCAACGGTTGTAAATATACGGACAAGGGATTTTGTGTGCACTTGTTTTTGTTTTTTCGTTTATAAAATTTTACTATCCAATTATATAAATTATTACAAATCTATATTATAATTTAACGTTAATTAAGAAATAAATATTTGTTAAACATAGTTGTATAAATATGAGTGATGAAATCGTAAGTTTATTGAAAAAAGTCACAAATATATTTTTGATGAAACCGAACTTTTAAGAACGTTTTTGATAAAATAAAAATACAAAAAGTTTACTAAAAATTATTTATGATTTTTAGTTTACTAACTAAAGTTTATTAAAAAACTATTTTATGATTTCACAAGTCAAAAATTTACGAAAATTCTTACTGATTTAAGGTTATGAAATGTCACTTAATGACTTATTTGCACTAAAACGAAGATTTATAATTTATAACATATCTTTATTATAATGATTGATATTAATAAAAACGTAAATGTTCGTATGTTCAAAACTGCTAATCTCCGAAACTTCTTCACCGATTACTTTGAAATTTTGACATAATCTTTCCATTGTATTCAAAAGGAAAAAAAAAAATCTGTTTTTAATTTTTAATATAAAGGGCAAAAAAATGTGTTGCCCGCATCACACAAGCTTCACTATTTCCTCTACTTTTAACAGAAATTATTGTTTGACAAAATTAGGGCATGTCAAAAAGTTCTTCATCAGCAATATTAGAGAGTATTGAAATTTTTACACTGACCTACCTTAAGCCGTTTTACATTGGTTTATTTCATCTAATAAATCGTACTCAAATCTTTTCTTTGATCAATTTTCAGGAAAGTTAATGTAATTCAATTTTTTTTTTTTTCTTAATGGACATATGTAAAGATATAATAACGTTTCTGAAATAGATAGAAAAGTCGTGTGAGTGGACACACCAGATTTTTTCTTTTATTTTTATTATATATTTATTTGGGTTTTTGTTTTTAATTTATATTTTAGTTGTACATTTCGCAAGCACCATGTTAAAAATCAATTTTGAATTTCGTTCGTTTAACGGCGACCGGAAGGAGTAATGTCGTCTTTACGAATTTATAGCTTTATTAGATGTAGTTACGAATACTTATATTCAAAAGTTTACATTGAGAAAATTGACAATCGTTACTTTAACATAGTACCGACGATATAACACAGTATGAATGTATACACATATCTATAATACCAAACGTCCTTGTAGTGGTAGAAATAAAAAATGAAAAAAAAAAATCTTGTGCGCGGATCAAACGACTTTCACTTACCACCCTTTTTTTATCAGAAATAAGTATTTTTAGATATAGAGGAAGTGAAAGTAAAAATTATTGATAGTATATTTATTTACAATTCATTGTGGGTATTTTTATTTGTTTAAATACCCTTATATATACAATTTTTAATTTCTATATCACTGTATTCTATACAATTAAATATTAAATAATACCAAAGATAGCATTTATGAGAACCACATATGTATATGAACATAATTTTGTCGGAGTCCGTATCATATGAAGCTCATGTTACGTAATTGAAACATTATTACAACAATTATCCGTTACGAACTGTTATTTCTCCTTTAGTTAATTATTAAATTCTATCATATTTTATATTTAACTATGTTTTATATCAAAGATTAATGTGAAATGGTTAATTATTACAAATTGAAAAAAAATAAAGATACTTCAGAGGAAGGCAATGTTTAAAATTATTCATTTAAGCCCTGTTAGAGAACATCAATTAGAATAAACCTACATTATATTAAAGACTGCTTAATAATACACTGATATATTGTGTTTAATCAAAATCGTTATAATCGTTTTTGAGAAAATCGAAATAATGTGTTAAATCGATTATATCAAATATCACTTCCGGTTTGCCGATTTTGACGAAAATTTTGCTATAATCAAATCTTATAAAAACCTTAAACATGCAATTTCACTTACATATGACTTTTAGTTTTCGAGCTGGACTGATAACATACATACATACGCAAACACACACCATTTTTCGGGATTTTGGACTCAGGAGACTTCAGAACATGTATTTCCGTTGAAAACTCAGACTCGAAAATTTTTACGATCTCAATACTTACTCCTTTCTATATATTAGATATATAGGTAAGTTTAAGTAATAAAACAGGCATACAAAAATGTTTTGAATGGCGTTGTGATAACAACCTGAATATTAATGATGAAAATCATTTAAAAAATGTAATATTTATTTATGTATACTAAAATTTGAACCCATGACACAGACGGGTTTTTTTTTTTATCATATTAATAACATAAGGCTTAAACGTTGGGAATAGTTTCATCTCATCACAATATACAAATTTTTATTTACGAAAATAAATTTATATTTACGAGATCGGCAAACTTCGTTTGTTTTATTAAGTAATAAAAATGTATGAACACTCATTTGTTTTTTACTTGGATTCAAGATAATTTGATTACGAAATCGAGTAAAAATGTGGCCTAGAAAAATATTGGACCGTTTAGCCCCGTCATGTCAAAATAACGAGGTTACGTAGGCCAAAACGATCAGTATTTTTGTAGGCCACCTTTTTACTCGATTTCGTGATCTAATTAAATTACAATCCAAGTAGAAAACAAATGGGTGTTCATACATTTTTATTACTTAATTAAACAAACAAAGTTTGCCGATCTCCAGATTGAGAACGTCCCTTTTCTTATAATTTTCGTAAATAAAAATTTGTACAAACTATTCTCGAAGTTTAAGTTATTAATATTATTAAAAAAACAAAAAAACAAAGGGTCTGTATCATGAACTAAAATTTTAGTATACATAAATGTCTATTACATTTTTTAAATGATTTTCATCATTAATAATTAATGTTGTTATCACTACATCATTCAAAATATTTTTTATGTACCTCTTTTATTATTGACTATATTTTTTTTTTTGATTGTCGTTATTTTTTTTTCGGTTTTGGTTTAAAATTATCTTAATATTTGAGTGGAAAAAAATAGGTGTTGATGAGTTTTTAGTACTTGAATAAATTAATTAATTTAATTATAAAACTCTCCATTTCTGAGAATTTTCATAAATAAAAAAAAAATTAGTTTACGATAAAATGAAGCGATTTTTTCGGTTTTGGCATAAAATTATCTTAATATTTGAGTGGAAAAAAATAGGTGTTGATGAATTTTTAGTACTATAACGAATTAATTAATTTAATTATAAAACTCTCCATTTCTGAGAATTTCCATAAATAAAAAAAATTTAGTAAGTTTCAGGCATATATTTATAATTTTTTTAAAGAAGTTCTGTATCACGGACTACAATAATTTAATATTTAAATATTATGTTACGCTTTGAAACTTTCGTAAATAACTTCAACCATATTAATTCCGCATTAATGAACACAAGGTCATAATGAGTCCATATACTAGTTACCTCCTGCGATCATGTTGATTATCCTAAGAATTGGAAGAGGAGCCTAGCTCACTGGAAAGGAAAGCCCCGATAAGCCATGAGGCGCCGCAAGCAGACACACACAGCGGACGAAACAACACAGAGCGCGGCCGAAAGTTAACTGATAAAGCCGCAACTGCGCACAATCCTCCTCAGGGTGGGGGCAATTCTTATCTGCCGCCATCGGGTAATGTGGAGGTCTCTGGGTCTTCTAGGCGTCTTCGGGGGTGGGCGGGTGTCGGACTGGAGGGCAGTGTCGGATTATCTTATGGACAGGGCCGGATTATTTCTGTCTCCATTTTTGTAGAGGAACGGAGAAGTGACATTATCACAAAATATTTTTAAAAGCATAATTTTAATTAATAATAATCAGCAATAATAGTTTTTTACTTTCACTTACGTATATATGTAATATATAGTAAGTGTAAGTATTGCGATCGAGAAAATTTTATAATCTGAGTTTTCAACGGAAATACACGTTTTGGGGTACTCTGATTCCAAATAACCCCGAAAAATGGTCTTTGTGTGTTTGTATGTTAGCAGTCTAGCTCAAAAACGAAAAGTCCTATGAAACTGATATCACGTATTTAAGATAGGTATATGCCTTAGATGTGACAGCAACTTTTTTCTTAAAATCGGCTAAACGGAAGTGCCACTTTATATCAACGCTCAAACACATTTTCACAATTTTCTCAAAAACGGCTCTAACGATTTTGATTAAACTCGGTTTATCATTGTATAATTAAGTGGTATTTAATATCAATTAGGTCTTATCCCCATTGATGTCACTTTACAGGGCTTAAATGCCCAATGTCTTCCTCTAAAGTACCTTCAATATGGTTTATTTTAAAAAGTTAATCATTTCACATTATTCAGAGTTACGATAAAAAATGCTAAATATAACTTTTGAAAGAATTTGATAAGTTAATAAACGAGAATGGTTTTATAAAGGTTTACGGAATTTTCTAAAAAAACAAAAAAAAATCGTTAAAATCAGAAAATTAGGAGGAAAGATATGGTCTTTAGTTTTTTTCCCTGAAGAGGCGTAATTTTGAATAACTTTAAAATATATTTTTTTAATTTTTGAGACTATATCTTTCCTAAGAACATCTTTCGTAAGAAATAAGTACTTAAATTTATACCTTTATTCTCAGCTCTATATTTCAACACTGCAATCACCACCGCTTGAATCAACTTACTCACTGTCTGCATAGATAACTTTTTCAACCAAAAATATCACTAAAATGACATCACTCAAAAATGTTGAAATTGGAGTTAGTCATTCTGTGGTTTATAAAAACAAAGAAAGTTGTATGGTTTAAATAAGCAGATGGAGTGACTAGATTTTTATTGCCTGTCGTCGATATATTGAATAGACATTTTGTAATTATAAAGAGAGAATCACTTTATTATCATAAAAGGGTGCTGCCCAATTATATCGGGTTGTTTTAAACACAGTATACATATTAATCCCTACAGACAATTTTCCAAAACTAATATACAATTATATAGTATTAACAACATGTATGAGCATAATATACAATTTTTTTTTTATCTATATATATTTTTTTATCATAATTTTTTTTCCTATATTTTTATTTATTTATTTATTTTATTTTTACTATTTCTTTCATTCATTTATTAGTATTATACATCCCTTTCTGTTCCTTCTCTCACTCTATACATTTTTCTCGTTCCCTAGATTTTCTCCTCTCTTTTCCTAACCTAATTCATAACATGCATACAAATACATAAAGTGCAGTGGACGTGGTCAATAAATAATGTAAAAATGCTGTAAAACACGCATGCTATAATTACTTGATATCTGTAAGCTTCAAGTTTTAGCTCCGTTTAAAATGCACTTCGAAAAATTTTATAATAGCCCAGAATTTCCAGAAAATAATTTCTATTCAATGTAGATCGGTTAAGTGAAAGTTGTGTGTTGCGCGCTCCACATTTTTTTTAATATTTATAGAATTTAGATTTAAAAAAATCAGGGTCACATCAGTGAAAGTAAAAAGTTCCAAGAGATTTCATGTTTATTGATTGAAAATCGTATTTGTGAATTTCACTTAAATATGTTTTATTTAAAATATATATTGAAGCTTACATGTGTACCCGAGGAATACATATGTAGAGATTACAAATGCAAGGATATTACAAGATGCAAAGTACGCATACAGCTTGCACAGCCCTTTTACCTTAAAACGCCCTTAGGCAATAAAAGGAAATTAAAAATTTTTTTATATATAATTCTTTAAACAATTATATATATATTGTATTTTGTAATAGATGAATTTCTGAGGGGTAGGAAAAAAAATTATATTACAAAAACATAATATGAGCAATAATATTAACTTAACACAATTAAAAACGGATGGTTATCCGAAAAAAATGTTTCGAGAAGGAGTAAGTCTCACGAGTCTAATGATATAAGTGATCTCATGGTAAAAAACAACGTTGGTTGACCGTGGTTTTATATCTTATTGCTTAACTAAATTTTAATGTTTATGTACTCGTTTGACGCAAAATTTAACGTTATTCAATTACATAATATATTTTTCGCTTTGATGCATCGTTTAGGAATTATAGCTGGAAAAAACAGAAAAAATCTGAATTTTTTGGCTGTAAAAAGTTTTCTCTTGGTAGACTGCGTTAGCAATTTTGTTTTTTACATGTCTAATACCTATATATACAAATTAAAAAAATAAAAACTTTTCTCACATTTTTCGCATTGGATTTCCCGTTTCGGTCCTCAAATTATTGGCCTAATATTCTTTAAATCAGCCGCCATTTTTGAAAGCAGCGGCTCTGGAACGGCAGGTAAGGTTCTTTTTACTCAGCTTTGTTTTTAGTTACTATTATTTTTTCTAAAATTCTCTGCTTTCCAACGTTACATTATACATATAAATACTAAATGTTATTTCCGGAGATTAATTTTCTACCTGGATAAACATTTTTCTTTTTTTCTCCTTTATTAAATTAATCAGTTCTTTTAAAAGTTATATTTAACCTTTTTTCCATTATGCCTAACAATGAGAGATCGTTAATTATTTAAAATAAACCAAATAAAGTTACTTTAAAGGAAGATAATTTGAACAGTTAAAGGGGATAATTTAAGCCCTGTTGAAGACATTAATAGAGATAAGACTTAAATTATATTAAAATTTTTAAAGCCGTTTTTGAAAAAAAAATTGTAAAAATCCACTCGTAAACTAGTACAAAAATTTATATTTATTGATTTCAAAACAAGTTTGTATTTAAGAGTTTTAATCAAAGCAAGAAACGAATCGACTAAAATTTGGGTGGCCTACTTTTTTGGATGCGTCTAATGTTTTTTTTAAAATTTATTTTACATTTGAATTCGTTTAATACAATCAGCTATACATTTTTTTCATAAAAAGAACAAAAAAAAAAACAAAAAAACAAATTGATTGATTAGTCATAACTTATCACTAAGCCAATACATTACCAAAAATTCGAGAAAAATCGTCTACAATCTATTTCCAAATAAAATGAGTTATCCTTACCTGGAAATAAATAAAAAAATCTTATTAATATGACCATAAAATATAATATTAAACATATGAAAAAAAAATATATATTTGTTATATAATATATATAAACATGTGTGAACCACAATTTGTTCATTAATCCAGTAATATTTATGTAAAATATGGTATATAACGGTCTTCAGTAAGTTTGGATCGACTGATGATTTAACGTGTCAGAAGAGACGTGAATTAACGGGTGTTCTTGCTTGTAACTGAGTTTATTTCCAACTAGGCAATTTCTTGCCTCACCATTAAATATAGACAACCTCAACGACTTTATGAACTTTTATTAAAGTTATTAACTGACATCAAGTTTGTATTTTATTTTATTTAATACACATATATAACGCTTTTATTTACTTAATTAGGAAGATTATTTTATCTCAGTCTATAGAAAATGTCAGAGTCATACAAGTCTTATATGATTTGTTTAAATCGTCCAAGAGCACGTTAAAAAAAAAAAAATCGACATTATTTAATGAAAATTTTGAGAGCATTTTTTCGAATATTTATATTAAAAAAATGAGAGTCTGCCATTTATATTTTGCTACCTGTAAAATTTGTGGCAATTTTAAACAATATTAGGCCAGAAACGTAAGGATCGAAATGCTAAATTCATTACGAAAAATATGGGACAAGTTTTTATTTTTTCACTTGTATACCTATATGGGTTTATACATGTAAAAAAAAAAATTTGCTTACGCGGGTTACACCAAGGGAAAATTTTTTACAACACAAAAAAAAAAAAAAACAGAATTTTGTTCTTTTACTTCTCCTAACTCCTAAACTCTTAACTCCTAAACGGTGCATCGAAGTGAAAATGGCATAGTGCATCTAACGAGTACCTCAAATTAATAATTCGTTAGGTGTTATGGTCGATAATTGCTGGCTAACAAACGGTGGTTTTTAGCAAATTTGTCAAAAACGGAGACAAATTCATGTAAATCAGCTGAAATTGATTTCTCTAATAGAAAAAAGTTCAAAAATTAATAGTTTTTGAGCATCCCCGTCCAATAAGTACCAACAGTTTTAATATTGGTCATTCACTCCGCTGGTATTGGTAATTTCTCAATGACAGGATATTGGTATTGAAGATTTTAAATATTTCAACAGAATGGGTGTCTATTCCACAGAGTTATTCTATTTAAGAGCCCAATATTTTAAGACTCTTTAAGTCTATTACACAAGGCTCTTTCACTTCTCTCAGCAGCGAAAGATTCTGAGAAACGAGGGCTCAAAAATTTTGGATTGAAGTGATTGTAATAAATTTAAATACCGTAAGTACCAGGGGTGTACTCCCCCCCCCTTCTTCCAAGATATTATATTGCTCTCCTCTTCTTATAAACAATGCAAACTAAAGTAAACATGGTCCATATTCAATTACACTTACAGTGGTGTTTTCTGTTTTTCTCCTGTCATGTGATTTGAAAGTTTTTATTTTGAAAATTCATAATCCAGTCGAAATATTATTCCCTCAATAATTCAAAACCCCGTTAAAACGTAGCCCCCAACTCCAAAAAAAAATTTAGAAAAATTCTGCCC